ACCACATTGTCCTTAATTAGGCAAAGTGCAGTTCTCCTCCTTCGCGTTCTTCAGAGAGCTGAAATTTATTTGCTCAGCAAGGAAACCATCTTGCTGAGCAGGGTTCCATTCACACTTTGCCTGTTAAATACAGATTTGTTCTGCGAAAAATAAAAGCAAGTCCCTGTCACTTAGAAAATGCGACTGCGAAACCTCTTGTCCTAAAAATGAGCTCCTTGAGTTGTGTAATTATTATTATTTTTTTTTTAAATCTTTGTGCAGGGGGGATGTGGCCCTTCTTGGGGTGGGGGAGTGCTGTCCTGGGGACACGTGTGCGCTGCACCAGCTGGTGTTAATGGAGATCTAAAGCCTCTCACCACCCTGCACCCGTACATCTGCGCTGGGGTGTGTGTGAGCGCAGGCATTCCTTTAGTTTTCAACAGTCAAGTTTAATACCGACCGCGGTGATTATTTCTTTTTAAAGTCTGCTAAAGTTTCTGTTAGGATGTTCCCAATTTAGTCTGTAATCTCGGTAGGGGATTTTTTCCCCTCCCTCCTTTTGGGGAGTGCTGAGGAAGGAATTCTCCTGTGCTAAGATACGGCGTGGTGGGGGCAGAAATTCAATTCAGCTGTTATGGTATCCTACCTGCTCCTGTACCTGGGGTGAATGTGGCCATTCACTCTCCCAGTAATGCAGTTTGGTGCCTTCTGGGTTCGACTCCTTTCGGTAATTTGCATCATTTTCCATTCCAGCTGATAAAATTACCCCCGTTTCCCCATCCATTTCCTTGTGAATGCATTGTTAATCTGAAACCTGAGGACTGTAAATGATTGAAATTGGGTAACCAGAGTCTTTGCGTAGCTGCTGCTGCTTCTGTAACATTTAACCGAGAAATGCATTTGAAGTGGTTTGTAACTGACTTTGCTAATGGTGAGCTCCCCAATCCCATTTTCATCTTTTTTTTTTTCTGCTTGAGATCTTGTACAGCATTGATTATTTTTTTTCAAAATTTTTTTGCAAACATTAAAAACCAACAAATACTGTGCACCAAACAAATTAGACTGTCTTCAAATATCTAATTTAATAACATCTGTGGTGATATTAGTGTTCTTAATTGGACAGGAAAATACAGGAAATTTGATTGAAACCTGACTTTATTTTATGGTTCCTGCTGAAATTGAGTCTGGGAGGGAAGTGGGGTTTAGACTTCGCTAGACTTTAGAGCTGCAAAGAGACCATTATAACCATCAGGTTTGACCCCCTACATAATGCAGACCGTAAGACTTCAGACAGCAATTTTTGCTTCTGGAGCCAAATGGATCTGGTTTGACTCCTTGAGCCCTGGGATTTGCTGGAAGCAGTGGACGCTGATCGGCAAACTCAAGTTGTGGATGGGAGGAGGGGGTGTGCTAATTGTGTGTTCTACTGGATTTCTGAGCATTGATGGGATTTGTGACCCTCCCCTTGGAGGAATTAGATGATCTTTAAGGTCCTTTCTGGCCCAAACCGTTCTAGGATTCTATTAACAGTGTTTTTTTCTACTCTTTCTCGTGGCAATTCACCCTCTGAGATGATCTTTAAGGTCCTTTCTGGTCCAAACCATTCTAGGATTCTATTAACAGTGTTTTCTTCTACTCTTTCTCGTGGCAATTCACCCTCTGAGGTCTGTTTACACAGTTGAGTTGCAACTTTGATTGGGTCCAGTTGGAGACACTGCTACCAGGAGGCTGATGGATTAGAACTGGGATCTGTATGTTTTTCAGGAGCAAAGAACATAAACATTTCCAGAAAAGCAAGCTCTGACGATGTTTGCTTGTTGAGTGTGTAACCTCAAAGGCTACACGATCATGAGAAACAGTTTGTGTTTCGAACAGAACAAATCTGTGGCTTCTTCCTGTCTAGCCCGAAATATGCACCGATGAGGTGAGAGGTGGGTGGTTCTTGCGAACCAGGCAGGGGAAATACTTCTGGGATGTCTTTTGTTAAAGTATTGGCAGCGCAACACTCGCTCTTTGGCTTTGTAATGGAAATCAGATATTTCTGGGTTAGTTCCTCGCTTTACATATTCCATCAAAATTCTCAATAGATTCCTTTGTGAGGTCGTTTGGCTGAAACTAGTTAATGATTTGAGAGGAGTTTTCTCCTTCCTTTCTCCTTCCACTTTCTTAAGGTCTGATGTAGTCTGTTCTAGTTCTATTTGGTTGAAAACCCTGCTAGGCTTTGCCTTAAGAGGTTGTCTTGTTGGGAGATTCCACCCGCAGCTGGTGGGTAGGGGCTTTTTAAATCAAGTTCTTAAAAGGCATGACCAAATATATCACCTATTCCAAAACTTTCTGGTTAAAATGAATGAGAAGATCTTACTCTGGGTGTTTGTGAAATCTGAATATTGTTTACTAAAGATGAAAGTGTCAAACTGATCCCAAGGCAAGTAACCTCCAAAGTATAGATGCAGTTGGATGAGGATTAAGCCCACAGTTTCTAATTTATACTGTCTGGCTCAAGGGAGAAAGCGTATGGAGGAATTGCTTTTTTTTTTTTAATTATTTGCTGGGAGAAATGATTGGACTGTGTCTTTCAGGGTAAACCTCCCGCAAAGCTAAAGAACAAAACGTTGTGTAACTGCCTGTTACCCACAGATCCTGCATGTTAAAGGCGTAACGTGCTTGTCAGTTAGTGGTGTCTTAATTGGGAACAAAAATCGGAATTGGCCTCAAGCTCTGTGCTTTGGAGAATGGCCCACGATGACAAACCCGCTTCTGCTGGCTGAGTTCCTCCTCCTCTGCTGAGCAGAAACATGCTTTATTCTGAACCCATAAGCATGTGACAGGGCTACAGATATATTTGAGCTGGCCCTATTTGCTACCCAGGTTGTTGAAGCAAAAATGGGCGTTTTGCCCAAATAATTGCATTTATTGGGTAATGCAGGAACAAAAAATTATTCTGGCCACCTCTGAAAATTGTGAAAATATAAATTGCTGATTAGCTAAGGCTGAAGTTACCTGTAGGAAGGGGTGGGAGAAACACTGATGCTGAAAATCATCCTTCCCCCCACCCTCTTAAACATGTACGAAACATCAGGGGAATGAAAGAAATCCTCTAAGTGAACATACTGGAAATACTGTGGCATCATATGCGGGTGCCTTTTAAGCTCTTGAGATAAGTAATTTATTCAAGATTTTCATGCAGTCAGTGGCAGATGAAGGAATTAGATCATTACTCTTTCATCTTCCATAAGAACAAGACCATCTTCCCCCCACTCCCGATTAGATTTTTAAACTAACTTTCATTCTCTGCTTAAGCCTTTCCAGAGTGAAAATGATCAAAGCATGAGATTAAAGACACATCCTGATCTGATGAGATTAGAATTTTTGACTGTTTCCTTATGCTTAAAAAAAAAAAAGCAAAGCATCTTTTTGGTATTTCCCCCGCCCCCCCTCCTTAAATTTGATCAGAGTGAAGCTAACATGGGCTTGCTGGTCCAGTAGGAAATGGAACTCAATTTTACATTTTTTTTTAAACCATTTTACTGTATTAAAAATGACAGAGGTTAGAAACAAAGCTCTTATACTTTTATTGAACTGGAATTAGAAGTGACAGAAAATCATTTTGGTCCTAGTGCAGTAAATGTTATCACTAAAACATGTTCAGGGGAGATTAGGACAGTCTCTCAAGCACAAGAGACAAAAGTTCACAAAACAAGAAGTGATTTTTGCTGTCCTTGTCTCGCAGTCGTTGTCTGTTCAGGAGACAAAAGTATTTCAACTCTTGGAGATGCCGGACTTGGGGGGTTGTGGGGACACAGGTACCTCTTGCAGAGCAGAGCCTCAGCCCCGGGGAGGAGAGATTTCCCAAATCAAAGGTTGAATAATATTTGAATTCTCATAGCAAATGTTGAGTAACCATTAATGCTGACTGGGAACAAAAGGATGGAGCTGTTGTGATGGTTCCCCTGACCTTGGGCAGGTGGTGTCGCTCCTCTGGGCTTGAGAGATAAGGTGAAGCTGCCGTAGGATGGATGGGGAAGAGCTCGCTGTGAAAACGGGGGACCACTGCCAAGAGCATCCAAAGGCCCAGAGAAATCTGCTGCCCTTTCTCACCACAAAGCACGGTGGTGTGGCTCTTTCAATGTATTACAGCTGTTATTTATCACTGAGCCCATTCTCCCAGGAAAGTTTTTTCTGTCTGTGCGCATATCTTATTTTTTATTTTTGTCCAAAGCAAACAAGTCAAATAAATATTATGCCCTTAATCAGAATTCTGTTGTTGTTTTCTAATTAATCTGTGTCAGTAGCTCGAATGTTTGTGTTAAATCATTTTCTTCATGAAAGCTTTTAATGAGGAAACAAATTGATTGGATTTTTACATACTGGATTCTTGCCACTAATGCCTATAGACCAACCCTTTGTTACACATTTTGCCTGTGAATGGGTCACTTTGTGGCTTATCCCCACTCCTCGATCTGTTTCCAAAACTTGCCAGTGCTGTTCTCTTATTAAAATGACTCTGATGTCAACCCAAGATGCATTCAAAGCATGAAAGATGAAGAAATCATGAAAGATTTTGTTTGGCATGGCCAGTATTGGGCAGTTTATGAGCTGCTGCTGTAAGGGAAGGGGTGAGATGAGGTTAAGAAAAGTCATAGAATAGAATCATAGAATAGTCTGGGTTGGAAGAGACCTTTAGAGGCCTTTAAAGCTGCAAAGCAAAAGGTCATGTAAACCTCTGCATTTGGAGAGACCTGGTCTAATGGGAGACTTTGGAAGCCTTCAAGAGGAGGAGAAGGGAAGGAGGTTTCCTGGGGAGCAGAGGGTGCCACAGGGACCAGTTTGCATCTGTAGGACTCGTGATTCCTCTTGAAGCTTCTTGCACAAAACGTGTGTGGTGACCATCCGCTGAGCTCCTGGCAGCACTTCGGGCATAATTCTCCCATCTGTCATTTATTCAGCAGGCTGGAACAAATCATTAAGAAAATAATGTATGCTTATGTCTTTTTTTTTTTTTCTTCTTTTTTGTCTTTCAGGTACCACTTGGAATTTCTGCCCCAAGGTGAGTAGGAGCCAGGGGAAGGAGGGGTGAGTTCTCCTTGTTACGAGCTTGGGGAGGGGGAAGGGCTGGATGTGTGTGGTGTTTCCTATGCAAACGAGGAGAAAAGCTTAAATTGAATATATAGCTGTGTGTGGCAGCTCTTGGGGCGGAAAGGGGTGACTCTGTAGTGGGGGCAATATCGGGAGTTGGGGTTAGAGTCCTTTCTGAGCAGCAGAAGTCCATTTCTCCTTACCCCTGAGAGCAAGTAATACAAAACTACGGTGCTGACATAAACATATTGTCTTGGACTAGCACAGGAAATTTTTTCTGCAAAACTTCTCTCTCCAGAAAAGGCTTAATAAAGTTCAGAAAGGGCAGTATATTCCCATGGGCCATTGACTTGGGAGCAAAGACAATTGGGTAACCTTCAGCAGGCTTCCCCTGGTCTCATTGCTTCATGTTAACCCAAACTTGAAATTGAATCAACCCTCCAGGTGTAGACAAATGGTCAGGCTGTAAATTTTTCAGGACCGTGACCATCTCTTGTTATGTCTGTTAACAAGCTGGGAGACTCTGATTGTGACTTTGATCTTCATTTCCGCAATAAAGCGGGTGATGATTTAAACTTTCCAGGATGCCTGCAGGTCACAAGCCGTGTCAGTGGGTACTTCTGCATATTTGGGGCAATTGATGGATATGTATTTCCTCGGAGCTGACCTGGAGCTCCTTTGACTCTCCTGGATCGGTGGAGCTCAGCTCTGCTTCCTGATTTTGGGGCATTGGGTACAGCCAAGGCGTGTGGTTCAGTGGGTTCATCCTTTTTCTTTAAAGATTCGCCCTTTTTCCTTAAATAATGGTGGTGATACACAAGCAACGAGAGCAGGATCTGCCAGTGTTCAAACAAGATGGGAGCTGGGGCTGTAATAAAAATCCTTGTGAGTGTTCCAACTCGGCTAATCCTTCATTTACTCCAGGAATAAATTCCAGTATGTTACCTCCTCGATCAGGGCCCACTTCCAGCACATCCTGTCTGTCTGGCAGCACAGAAATGTCAGAAATGCAGCAGCGTTGCAATTCCCACTAGAACAGTGTTATCACATTTTAATATGAGCCTCGGTGCAGCCTCGGTGCTTCTAATTGCTTTCAAACCATTGTTTTCATGCGTTTGGTTGATGAACCCAGCATCTGGCATCATTTGAGAAAGTACAACAGACAGCTGTGTTCAAAATTAAAAAAAAGAAGAGAGGATTAGAACACATAAAAGGGCTCAAAATTAGATTTTTTTTTTTAATTTTGAAAGTTCATACAATTTAAAGGGTGGAGGAGGGATGCTTTTGTTCTTTTGAAATATTCTTTATTCTTTTATAGAGTCGGAAGCCTAAGTAATATGAGAGAGACTGGTTAGTAGAACTATGTATAGACTTGTAAATGAAGTGCCTGGCTTGCTTAAATGCCTGCTAGGAATTCCTGAAGGAGTGTTTGGGTCTTCAGGTATGTAGGTGTCTCTGAACATGTCCCTTTCTCATCTTGGGAACTTATGCTATTGGGGAAAAAAAATGGGCTAAGGAAACAGGACAACTTGGGAGTGAAAACAGGGGCTTGGACATCACCTCGAGAGCCTCAGCTCCAGTTTGTGATCCCTGCTGGGGAAGGGAAGGTGGTGATGAGAACTTAGTGTGTGCTGAGTGGGAGAGAGCTGGAGAATGACAATGTGGGTCTTGGTTTTAAATTAAAACTCATGTTCCTGGACATATTGATAAGAAGAGTGCAAAAAACCCAGGCATAAACTAGCTGCAGCACTGGTGCCTTTAAATAACAGGCTGATGTGGCAAAGAAAAAGGCTTCTTCTAAGAAGGGCTGGGGTTTTCTTTGTAATACCTAGTGAACAGCTTTTCTTAAAGTGGTTTAAATGCAACTTGTGACTGTGTCCAGGGAAGGCAGCTGTGCTCCTTGAACTTGGAGCTGTGCTGAAATCCCTCCCAAGACCAAAACTTTGGTGATTCCAGCTGTCCCAACCTGCTGGTTTCCAGTATTGGCTGAAGCAGATAGAATTGGTCTTGATACCTCCCAGTATCTGAAACTGGGATGTGGGTCTGCTCCTGAGGATGCAGTTTGAGGAAGATATAACTGAACAGAGCGTGTGCTGCAGGATGAGTTGCTGTGCCAAAGCCATAGGCACCAGGTGATGTTCTTGGCCGTAGTGTGTAGCTGCAAATTATTTTTTGCCTTGTGTTTCTTAGGTGAGCAGAGCCCCAGGGTGACTTGGATTTCCTTTTGGAGGAGGGCTGACTGCCTATGTGGAGTATTTTATACACTTAATATATTTTATGCATCCACGACTTTGCTGTCTTGCAGCAACCTCCCCTTTGTGGAAAGGGAGCTAAGGAAAGTTGGCAAAGAAAATCTGGAGAGGACCCGGGTCAGTCGTAGCCCTCCCCCAAGTCCTTTTCCGCTGTTTCCGTCTCTTCTCACAACTCAGCACAGGGAAATGTTCTGCAGCAGCTTTGGTTGGGAAGGAACGCGTGGTCTGAGGGAGCGGCGAGAGGCCGTTGTGTGGTACTGCAGGGAATCTGCTGAGAAACGGAGGAGAGGGAGGCTGGAGGGAAGGGATGAGTATTTGGGAAGAGAACGGAGGGACATGGAGGGATGCAAAAGGAGGGATCAAAGAAGAAAACGGTGCGTGTGTGGCTACACGAGAGCTGTGGGTCAGGCTGAGAGTTTGGCTTTGCTGGAACAGGACTTTGCACTAAATTATTGCCAGTGGTGTCTTTCAGCCTCTCCGTTCCCAAAGCCAAAAGACACACAAAGATGGGCAAGAGTGAGAAGACAACATGGTCACTGGTAGAGGTGACTTAGATTAAATCATTGGTGTCTGTACAGTATTTTGAGATACTCAGGAGCACAAGCTGCTCTGTAACACTCTGCTTGAAGACACAGACCTTCAGAGATGGAGAAAGCTGAGGGCTCCAACCTGGGGCTGACAAAGAAGTGTCCCTCCAAACCCTCCTGTGGGTACCTGGTTCTTCCTGCTGATGGGTGAACCCTGAGCAGGGCACTGAACAGAGAACTCAGCTTCCACCGACTCGTTCACACTAAAACCCCTCACACTGGACGCAGTTGTAAGACATGACTTTTTACTTTGCTTTGAATAAAACCCCAAAGAGATGAACATAACCAGATTTATTTTCATTGAGCTTATGATAATACTTTTGGTTTTCCATCAAAAATGGATCCCAAATGGTTTCCTCTGAAGTGCTGTGTGTGTATTTGCTGAATAGTAGTGTTCCTTAAAATATTCATAAGTAGTCAAAATATGTGAGAGAATGGGGATAGTCATTCCTATTTATGAAATTTAGAAAAACTGAGGCTCAAGAGATGTGCTTAAGGTACCAGGGTGTCTACAGGTGCATCCAAGAATTGGGTCCAGATTTACTGCTTCTCCTGGCTCTGTGCCTTAACCCCAGAAAATGTCACCTCCCAAGAGTAGGAGGAAAAAAAATATATGGCAGGGGAGGTGGGGTAAGGGACAAGCCAGGATAAAACATGACTTAAAAATTGGGAGCCTTCATATTTAGTAAAAGGATTAAGTAAATAAGTGTGGAAAGTCTTGCTGGGCCACTTATCTCCTAGTATATACTATTTAGATGAAGGACGTATCGGTTTACGTCCACGGGCCCTGCTTTGGCTCTGGCTGAGCGCTTGGTGGGTCGCTGGTGGTTCCTGGGGCTGGATGTCGTGGCAGCACAGGAGGTATGGACGTACCCGGGCCGTGCGTGTAGGTTGCTTTCGTTAACTGGCATTATACAAAGGCCTGGAGTGTTAGATTTATGAAGTAGCTTTTCTATATAAAGCCTCAAATCTCTTGAATTGAAGTGAAGCGGAGCTGGACGGGAGACGGAACTGAGCGTTTCCCCAACCCGCTGCTCCCTGCTATTGCATATTTGGTTCATGTAGTTATGACAAGTACAAGTAGCAAATCATTAAAGCAGCAAAAACACCATCTTTACTGTAAAGATCCCCTTTGAAGCTGAGGCGGAGTGTTCCTGAATTAATGGAGTGCATAGTGATTTTACTAAGTTTTATTTATAAAAAACCCTCTTTGCGTTCATGCCAAGAGTCTCCAGCTCAGTGGTAAGCAGGGTTCATATGCAGAAACCCGGGCTAGATTTATGATGTGTTTGAAAACGCAAGGGAAAAAATATCGAATTGACAATATTTGTAACATATTGTTAAAATATCTATTCTATCGCCATGCGTGGAATTCCCCTGCTCTATAAACATGAGTGCCAGCTACAACCCTGGAAATGTCATAACATGCAGAGACAAAAAGAAAACAAAAAAACTTTTGTTAGAACGCCTTGTAAAGTCCAAGATGTGTTTGGGTGGTGTGTGGAACGGAGAGTTAATTAATGAAAAATAAAATATACACAAAGGCATATGTTCTTTAACTTAAAAAAAAGAAAAGCTTTAGTATCAACACTTCTGACAGGACCCTTTATCAGCGCTGAAGCTTTGCTTCCTGCAGCTCTGAGCGTGCAGTTCTCTGTCTCTGTGTATCTATTATATTCTGGGCAAACTAATCTGTGTAGAGACAGTATTTTTTTTTTTTTTTTTGCATTAAAATCCCTCCTGCTTCATAGTTCTGCAAACTCTGAGCAGCTGCACAGCTTTGCTTTTACATGGACTTATAAATTATTCTGCTACCTAAGGTATTGTGCACAAATTTTGGGAGGCAAGTAACGATTATAGGAGAAAACAAAATGCTCTGCTTGGAAAAATGTCATAGGTAGGAGGCAAACGTGTGTGCTCTAGGAAAGGCTGTATGGAGGGGTATTTGCATTTTTATTTACATATATACATAGAAAAATCAAGGGGTACGTGTAAGTTTGAGACTTGCTACTGTGTGTTGAGTGTTGAAACCAGAAACCAAGCTCCCCCTTATCATGAAGCTTTAAAATCCTTTCAAAAGCTGGGAGTCTCGGCTGCAGCAGGGCACGCAGCACCCTTCAGCTGGAGGGGAC